AGCGGAATAATTGTGAAGTGACGGTTTCGGGAGATCGAGGGAGGAAAGTGGTTCTTAGTCTAAAAAAGCCACTCGATCGCGGGCCATCGAAGAAGGCCCGTCGCGTCGCCGCGCGGAACGAAAATTATCTTGCCGAACGACCGAGAAACTGCTTCCAAGAAGAAACGAAGCTCGTCTTCTCGATTACCTCGTAACGGATATCACCATATACCCCTTGCATCTCCTTTCGTTTCCCAATTTCTCTTTTACCCGCCACTATCTACCCATCCTTCTTAATCTACACGTTTTTATTCTTTCTCTATAATACTTGATAGATGTAAATCTTTTCTTACATGTCGCAAAATAAATACTTTCAAACAATTTCAACGATTCTTGTTATTAAATCTTAGAATCTATTACGTGGAAATACACTTCTAAGGTTCATTTCTACTGGCAACAAACAGAGATGCAGTAATGTGACGTTAAATAAGAACATTTTACGAATTAATGCAGCAGAATAATTTATTTCATACATTTTATCGCATGTGCAATAACATTTTGAAAATTGAAACTTCGCACTACTAAATTTACACTGTTATACATATACATATAACATTTTACCAAATGGTTTTTACTAGGGTTAGTACTTTGTGAAAAAAGATCGAAAAGTATGAGTATGATACAATTTGAGAAATTAAAGGTATAGATGAAAACCGTGTCGTCTCAATTGCGAATATCCTCGTCGAACACTTACGGTTTCCAAAAAGTGTTGTTCATCGTAGCAGTTGGATTCAAGTAATTGGCAAAGCAATCATTTTTTAAACAGGATTTTACTTTCAAAGTCCCACAGTGTAACCGTTAACGAGGGGTGACGAAAGTTGTTAGTGGACATTTTGCGCGTCTGGCGTTAATTGGTTCGGTGAACAGCCGCGGCGGGGTTTCGATTATTCGGGATGATCGTACAGACATAGGTGGTAACAGACGTAACGGTGGACCGATTATCTCGTCGGGACGGTAGGATAAAATATGGCTGGTGCACCTCGCCGTTAAGTAACGACGGAGATAGGTGTGGCGCCGATCAGAAAATTGGAGGGTGCAGCAAGAAGAGCTAACCCGACATTCGAGCATGTGGGATTCTACCCTCTGATTTTTGTCGGATTCCGTGATTCCTCTTATAGCGTCATCGATGCTTGAAGCGTATGATCGACTTTTCTACCTGAATCTAGTTCAATGAAGCCTAAAATTCATAATCCAATCCTCAATTCATTTTAATTCAATAAACTTCATTATGATGTAAACTACAGATCCTTATGTTAGAACACTTGTTACGTCAATTCGAAAAATCAAATCTGAATTGGGATATCATTCACAATTTAAAAATAATGATCTGTATTATGCTATTGATATTTTATTACCAGATTACATGTATTCTATACATTATTTGTATATTTATTTTTTTTACGAATGCATCAAATCGCGGACTAGCGATTACAAATCAAACTTCAAGTTGCATTACGTGGTTCTCTAAGTATCACCCATCCAGGCGAATTTATTTGGAATCCATGGATTATGAACCATAGTTCAGTTCGTGTTAACCCAGGCAATCCATTCAACGTATCATTCTATGGACTAACTAGTCGTTTTATAGTCAGAATTATTTTCTTAGCTAAACTGTGTATAGAAAAATGTGGGTAATAAAATTAATCATCATAGATAAAAGTAATATTAGCCAAAAGTGTTATTAATTACTATAGACATGTTATCAAATAAGATGTAAGTATGCGAGTTGAACATACACATTGTGATGAAAATTAAATCAGCAAGATATCGGTATACTGATACTTATATTACTTAAAAATCACACTGGTTTTCTAGAGGGTTAAGAACAAGAAGAGAAGCGTTTAACTCTTCAGATGAAAATAGTTAATTTGATAGACAAGAGGGCTCACATGATTGGGAAGTGTTTAGGACGCGTGGTCTCCCCGACGACGACGTTTGGAAACGATCGTGCGTTTCCCGAGTTGAAGTGGTAGTCTTCGTAACGGAGAGCGCCTTTCACTCGCGTAGCCATGATCGACCGACACTAAATCAACCGACACGCATTAAGCATTACCGCATTTACATATCGACGGTTCTACCGCGCGCACTAAATCACGCTCAATTTGAAAATAATGCATCCTACGAATTATAAGTCGTTTTGAGGGACACCGCGGCTGTCGCGTCGTCGTCTACAGCTACTTAACTACAATTATCCTGGTTGCTTATTCGGACGAGTCAATGTTCTGATTCTAACGAAACCAATATGTCCATGTAATACAGATTATTATCAACAAACGGAATAAAATATATACGATATCAATTTAAACAATTTTATTCAAATCGTTTAAACATATAACTTCTTATACACATTTTCTCCATATTCAATCTTTCTATACATGCATGAAATGTACGATGTATTTATCAGTATGTATGCATTCCAATCTTCAGAAAGTCCTGTAGTTGCTTATAACGAATGGTTCATCTCCATTTCGAAAGAGTCTTATTTGTTTAAGTATTGTCAATGGCTATTGACAATTGACACGTTGATGGAAGAATGCGACACTTGAATGTAGCTGGATGAATACAGTGGAAGTACAACATTCTTTGGTTGGGTCAAACATATCATTGTACACTTTCATGCAGGAGACTTAATGAAAAAACTGTCATCAACTGCTGGGGACAGTTTTCCCAAAAACTGATCAAATGTGTAAAGCACCCTCATGGAAGATTTGCTCAGTGACTTCGATCCTCGAAACGAACGAGATCCGGTGCGGTACCCGGGCCGGAGAGAGCGATTTCGCGGGAATCTCAATCACCGGGATTGGATTGGTGGCCGACGCGAAGAAGGTACGACGCGCGACGACGGCACGGCGATGCAGTCTCCTCTTCTAATCTAATCGTCGTCGGTCCGCGTTTCGCGTTCTTTCTCCCTCCCGGCTTGGTCTCGGTCCACCTTTCCAGGAAACCGGGTCGCCGGTGCGCGGTTGTTTTCACGCGTGTAGGTACACGTGTACGCACGTACACGCACGCGTTCGTGGATGCTCAGAATCGGCCGTAGGTTCTGTAATAGCCCTGTGGGCGAACGAGTCGCGTCGCTGAAAAATAAGAAAATTCGACGGCGAGGATCGCGACGCACCGTCCGGTTCTCCAAGTGCGCGCGGCCACTCCGTTCGCTAAAGTGTTCGGCCGAGATCGAGGCTGACTAACGCGCGACCGCGACGCGGAGAAAGGAGCGGAGACGAGCCCGGTCAGACAAAGAGGAAGCTAGACCCGAAACGCGGAGACCAAACGTAGATATGCTTGATCAATTGCGTGACTCATTGCGAGCAGGTTACCTACACCACGTTCAACTATGGCATCTACGCGCTGTCACGATTTATTTTTCGATAACGGATGTCGGATGCGCAGGGAAATAGAATCGGAGAACAAAGCCGGAGGGAGAAAGGATACAGCCCGTTGCGAGGAATCGTTGACGGAGAGAACGAGAAAATACGGCGGGAAAGGTGGAGAGGTTTGGGGAAGGTGAAACATGTACGTAAGGCGAGAGAGAGGGAGGGAAGACTTAAGTTACGTCCGTGGCTCCGCCGTGAAATATATCGCGAACTCGGCGACGAGGCTAAGCGTTGTTCCGCGCGGGATCGCGCGATCTAATTTGTTGCGCTTCGTTGTTATTTATGGCCGCTTCCTACGGATCTGATCCGAGCTTAACCCGTCGATCGCGCTCCGTGGACGTTCGTTTCTCGGCTGGACACGGTCCAAGTCTCGGGACCGAACGAAATCGAAAGAATTTCCTAAAGAGTAGACTCGAACTTAAAAGTCGAAGTAACGGTGTTCGGGCCGCGATAAGGTACACCGGTTGGCGCCACGCCGATAGGAATAGGTGCATCCCTTAAATTCCAGACGATCCCGGGCCAGACGAACCCCACCGTTAGCTACTCTACTTAAACTCTCTCAAAACCTCTCGCGCAGCTCTGTCTCCAATCAACCGTATTGAACACCGATCATATCGCTCAATCAATAGATGTTTTACAGGTTTTATTAATACATACTCTATTTACTTTGCCATCAATGTTTACGAAACCTATAGTTCGCTTTAGTTTCACAGTAGAACGGATTGCAACTGTGGCTACTATGTAAGTATTGGCAACTGGACTTGAAACCGAAGAGATCGCGATTCGATATTGAACATCTTAATCAACGCGTTCGTTCGAGCGATACGTAAGTATGTTAGTTACTTAATCAGATGCGCGTTGAAGTAGATCCAGTAAATGTGTCACAGACGTCGAAACTTATGAAATTCCGGTGTGGGCTCACAATACATTTCTATGCATACAGATCTATGTAAGTACTTAAATAGAGGTGAAAAAAAGGGTAGCGGATGGTTGGGGATAGGCGACGGCGACGGCGAAGCTTTCAGCGTGCGCGAGAAAGGATCTCGAGGGCGGCGCCACGTTTGCGCTTCACAAAAAGTCCAGGAGGGGAATAAAGAGAGAAGAGAAAAAAAAGAAGCTGGCCGAGAGAGCGGCTAACATGGAATAGCCCTTAGCAGGCACGATAGCCACTCTTTAGCCTGATGGACTCACGATGGGGCCCCTTGCCGCCCCCCTGTCCCCATGCCCCTCCCCCATTCGCCGGCCTTCCATTTCGCCTTCCCTTCGCGTTCCTTTTGCTCGTGTTGCTGACTGCCGATCCAAGCGTTTCGCCAACCTTGTCCTCCTCTCGCATCCTTCTTTCGTTCGACGCGTCGCGAATCCGTTTCCCTCAAGGTTTTCTTCGCGGTTGTCGAATAGTAGCGGCGCGACGCGACGCGTCTCTGTCGGGCGAATCACGGTAGTGCCCGCTTAGTGTACATCGCTTCCAGGATCTTATCAGGTACACTATCGGGATAACTTACGTTTTAAGAACCGTTTTCTCTCGCTAGCTCGTCCGTCCCGAGAGAAAGAAGAAAAAAAACGGTCGGGAAAATAAAGTGGGAGACCGAGTTGAGGCGTGGAGAAAGCTTATCTAATGTGTTAAAGGGTATAATATAGCAATAGTCTACAGTGGATGGGATCTTCATTCCGTGGCTAAGCCAGTTTCGAGAACTAGTGGGGATGAATACAATACTTGAGTCCGATATAAACGCGTACACTGAATGGACTCCGCTGCCACCGTGTACATCGACATTTCAATGGGAATCGTTTCCCTTGGTTTTAAACGATCGGGTCCAGTCGTTTTATTCAAACATCTCGTACATACATAGCCTGTACAAACCGAGTACTCAGACTCGTAGCATGCGATTCGAAAAAATTGTCTAATTGCGCGACCGGACGCGGTGGTCGCATCCAGCAAATAAATAGATTCCTTTCTCTCTTTTATCTTTTCACGTTTCTTACTTATGTTTATCTTATACGCGGACGCGCTCCTATCCAAGCGCGAATACGCGTTACCCTTCGCGAGAATGCGCCTCGCTGCACACCTACGTGTACTCGTTTCCTCCGCACGTAAATACATCAGCGTGTCATACATGTATACTGTTTAAGTGCACGAACGCGTGTGCCTGCGTGGGTGTACGCGAAGGAAGGCAGCGGTACGACGTGTATTTACAACGAAACAGGCAAGAATCTCGCGCGATATGCGTAAGATTCTTCGGAACAGACAGAGAGGAACAAAGGCGTATTTATTATATACTTAAGAGTTGAAAGAAATGAGAGGACGAGAGGATGGAGGAGATTAAGGTGGCTGATAAACGGCGTCCGAGGCGCGCGTTCCGTTTCCTCTTGAACCTGAAGAGGGCGAAGCCGTCTAGCGCGAAATTGAAATCGCGTCGGCATGATCAAGCGCAACCGATAAAGCAGGAGTCGCGCGCGCGTCGGCCACGCATTTTCCAACATAGGAATAAATAAAAAGAATTCGCGAGAAGAGGATCAAATTGCAGCGGGTCAATTCGGTTCAGTTCAAAAAGGACAGCGGTGGTCCTTATTGCGTGGTGGGTAAATCCTTGGTTGGTAAAGAGGCTGCCCTTTCACTGCGACAGCAGCCGCTGACATCGCGCCATGTGTTCTACCCGACGGTCTCCTTCATCTTCTTCCATTTCTACTTTACGCGCTACGCTATACTCTCTCGGCGTGAACTGCAGTGGTCGAAGTTATGACCGAGATCATGTCGCTGGCCACATGACTAACGATTGGCTCTAGCGGTGGCACGCTAAAAAAAAAATTGATGACCATTGTAACGTCGTGATTTGAAAATGCGCATGGAAGGTGTCGCTGCACTTACGTAAGGGTGGTTTGTCGATTGAGTGCGGCGGCGGTGGGCAAAGCGAGGGGCGAATGCGCATGAGCCAATGGTGTACCTACGGACGGATGACGTTCGCCGGTTCCCAACGCGTTTCCGGTCTCACCCCGGTTTCCGTTCCCTCTACCTTTACTCGCATCCCTACCGGTTGTCCCCGGCTCGGCCTCCGGTCTGATATCTGCCCCTATCCCGCCCCCGTTACCGCTCCCGTACACGTTCAACTGCAACGAGTCCACTGGAACGTGAAAACAGAACAGATGCTATCGGATCTCTTCAGCTTCTTACGCGACACGCGACTTATTAAGGTTTACTCGAATCCGCTCCGATCACGCGATCGCTCGCGGTCAATTCTTTATCTCGATTCGGTAGCGATCGTCGACTTTTGTTTACTCGCGATACATATTCGTACTTTGTTCGCCGAGTCGAATTTAGAATTAAGGTAGCCAAATCTTAGTCGCTGACTATTATCGAAATATTTCTGGCATAGTAAGTTCACCCCGTGATAATTTTCATATGAGGTGCGACTAAATCTAAATTAATTTTGCAAATCTGATGCATTCAACGGAAATGATGAAGTAGACGCGTTGAACCCGTGCGTAGGTACACCTGCGCGATCGATGACACGTGAAAGAAACAGATTAGGGATGATGCGAAGCGGACGAGATACAAACTAAATGAGAAACTTGCTCACCGAAGACTCACCGAGTAAGTTAGACTTAAGCTCGGTCTTGGGTATACCGCTGGGCCCAGCCAAATTTCCGCTGATTCCCGAATGATTCTTTGGCTTCCTCTTCCTCGTCTGGATTCCCTCTTTCTTCATACTGAGTGGCCTGTTTACCTGCAGCAAATAAAAAGACGTTGCCAAGAGAAGAATGAACGTAGATACTCGTGATGAGCGTCGAGTTTAATTAATTTCGACGGAACGTGATAAAAGACATCGACTCGCTGACCGTATCAGCATTTGCGATCGCGAAGAAATCATTGATAACGTTCCTCGTTTCGATCAGACAGGATTAACATTTATTAAAGACGCGTCACGGAGAGCGTGATGCATCGGATAAGAGTGCAAAGGTATTGTGTAAAAAAACGGAAGTTTCGTAGGAAATAATTGACAAGCGTAAACGAAAAAAAGAAGGAATCGCGTTCACTATACATATGTATTGGAAGTCAAAATCAACGTCGGATAAGATGTAGAAAAACAGCACACAAATGAGATTCAACATGTAATACAGATATGTTCGGGACTTTCCGGGAAGAGAATTATGAAAAACAGCACGGCACCCAGACGCTCCGAAGAGCACAGACCATTCTAAATTTATAATAGATGTTACATTATTTTTTTCACTTTATATTATATACTGCATGTATAACTTCGCTCTACAAGCTTGTAAAGAATTACGAATTATTATGAAACTCATTGATCTCGTCATACTGAGATTTCGTAACGTAGGCGTGAATCGATGCATCTATTCGAAGTCGTTGAGATGTTTTCGGAGTCATTATCAAAGAGTACGTCACCATGAACCAGGGATCGCGACGAGATTACAGAGACGCGAGAAAGACGTTGCGTAAGTAAAGTAATCACGAGCAAACGGGATCATCGACAGTGGCCGCGTTTCGAAGTTGTTAAACTTCGTATCACCTTTGAGTCTCTCTGGTCAAATGAACTAACTCGAACCCAAACCGAGTTTCCAAGTTCATTCCCCGTCGTATTACCTCGCACTGTGAGTCACAGAACAGGCCGCGTTTCCGTTTCCTGTTCCGAACGGAATTCCTAAACCTCGTTAATATTAGCTGGTCACTGTACGGTCAGACCTCAATCTTGAATTTCATAGTAATTTATACAATGTTTCATCTAATGATTGATATTAGGTTTAATACTATAATTGATATAATAATAATTAATAGA